TGGCCCTCTTTTTTTTCTTGGCCCATTTTTAAATCAGGTTGTTTGTTCTCTTATTGTTGAGTTTTAAGAGTTTTTTGTACATTTTGGATAATAGTTCTTTGTCAGGTAAGTCTTTTACATATACTTTCTGCCAGTCAATGGCTTGTCTTTTCACTCTCTTGATGGTGTCTTTTACAAAGCAGAAATTTTCAATTTTAATTTTTATTTGTTATTTTTTTAGAGATGGGTTCTCACTCTATCACCCAGGCTGAAGTGCAGTGATACTATCATAGCTCACTGTAACTGCAAACTTCTGGGCTCAAGCAATCCTCCCACCTTAGCCTCCTGAATATTGAGGACTACAGGTGTATGTCACTACACCCACCTAATTTTATGGTTTTTTTGTTTGTTTTTTATAGATGAGGTCTTGCTATGTTGTCCAGGCAGGTCTCAAATTCCTGGGCTCAAGTCATCCTCCTGCCTTGGCATTACAGGCATGAGCTGGCCAGCCTCAGAAATTTTTAATTTTAATGAAATTCAGTTTATCAATTCTTTCTTTCATGGATCATGTCTTCGGTGTTATATTGAAAAAGTCATCAACAACCCAAGGTCATCTAGATTTTCTCCTATGTTATTTTCTGGGAGTTTTGTGCTTTACATTTAGGTCTGTGATCTACTTTGGTTTTGTTTGTTTGTTTGTTTTTTGAGACGGGGCCTTGCCTTGTTGCCCTGGCTAGAGTCCAGTGGCATCATCATAGCTTACTGCAACCTCAAACTCCTGGGCTCAAAGGATCCTCTTGCCTCAGCCTCCTGAGTAGCTGGGACTACAAGCATATGCCACCATGTCCAGCTTTGGAGATCAGTTTAACATTACAAAACCTATTAATGTAATTTAGCACAATAGACTAAAGAAGAAACACCATCTGGTCATCCAAATAAATACATAAGAAAAAATGTTTGCTGAAAGTCAATATTCATTCATGAAAAACACAGGAGATATAATAAATGTAGAGGTTAAAATAATAATAAATACTATATGTGTTAGGTATTACCATTATTATTAGTTATAGCAGTACTAATACTAGTAATAGTAGTAAGTGGATTGGAATGGAACTTCCTTAACCTGATAAATGGATATCTACAAAAAATCTACAGCAAACTTTCTATTTAATGGTAAAACATTATTTAGAATCAAGCACTGTAGAAGGATACTTGCTATTACTATTGTTTTATTAATAATTTAAAAGAGCTAGCAGTAACCAGGTACTGTTGTGCTTTACATATGCTAATTAATTTAATTTTTACAACAACTACATGAAGTACAACAATTAGACATAGTTTAAATTGAGAAATCTCAGTTATAAGAAAAGTTAAACAGCTTGCCCAGAGTCTCAGAGTGGCAGGGTGAGGTTTGTGGCTTAGGCATTTGGCTCCAAAGTCTATACCTTAATTTGTACAGTATGCTGCTTCTGCAGTCAGCCTCACACTAGAGATCTCAGGCAGCAGAATAAGATAAGAAAAATAAATACAATGTATAAGGTTTTGAAATAAACAAAAGCTAAACCAAACAACATGAAAAAACAAAACAAGACTAATAGAGTAATTGTTAAGTATGCTGCTTCTGCAGTCAGCCTCACACTAGAGATCTCAGGCAGCAGAATAAGATAAGAAAAATAAATACAATGTATAAGGTTTTGAAATAAAGAAACAAAACTATCATATGTGCATTGATATGATTGTTTATACAGAAACATTTAAAAAACTCTATAGATAATTTTATCACATTAATAAAGGAGTTGTCTATAAACTGTCTATAAAGGAAGGTTGTTGTCTATAAAATCAATATACAGAAGTGAATTTCATTTCTGTACACAACAACAAACATAAAATGTAATTTTTTTTTTTTTTTGGAGACAGAGTCTCACTTTGTTGCCCTGGCTAGAGTGAGTGCTGTGGCGTCAGCCTAGCTCACAGCAACCTCAAACTCCTGGGCTCAAGCAATCCT